CAACTGGTGAAACCGCTAACTGGCAACTGCCTAAACCGCCAACTGTCAACTTGCTTAACTGACAACCGTTACCTGCCACCTGGCTCAACTATGAACTTGATGAACGGTGAACTGGCTGCCTGGCTGAACCACCAACTGGTTAAACCGCCAACTGTCAAATGGCTCCACCGTCAACCGGCTCTCCTCCCTTAATTGGCAATGCCCTTCCTGACTGAACCATCAACTGGCTTTACTCAACCATCAATGCCTTTGCCGGCTCTACTACCAATCGCCATCTCGATCAATCTATATATATTCCATCATATATACGATCCTAACCAATATTCCACTGCCACAATCAATATATATAACCAACAACTCCACCATGCCAATCGATATAAACCAGCTTCTTGGCTCCACTGTCAATTGCCTTCTGGTGGAACTGCTAACTGGCTCCCTCGCTCAACTGCCACTGGTCAACGAGCTCAATTACCAACGGGCTCCCTGACGGAACCGCCAATTGGTAACTGGCCGGATCGCCAACTGTCTTACTGGTTTGACCGCCAACTGTCTTCCTGGCTCAATTGTCAACTGTCTTACTGGCTCAACTGGCACTGTCATCCTGGCTCAACCCCCAACTGTCAACTTCCTTGACTACGAACCGCCAACTGTCGACTTTCTCAACCGCCAACTGTCGACTTTCTCAACTGCCAACTGTCAACGGTCAACTGTCAACGGTCAACTGTCAACGGTCAACTGTCAACGGTCAACTGTCAACGGTCAACTATCGACTTTCTCAACCACCAACGGTCAACCTGCTTAACCAACTGTCAAATGGTTAAACCACCAACTGTCAACCTGCTTAACCACCAACTGGCTTAACCGCCATCTGGCACCTTTCTCAACCATCAACTGTCAACTAACTAAACCCCAAACTATTGACTTTCTCGACCACCAAGTGTCAACCTGCTCAACCAACTGTTAAATGGTTAAACCACCAACTGTCAACTGGCTCAACCAACTGTCAACTCTCAACTTGCTCAACCGTCAACTGTTAACTGGCTCCCTCGCTCTACTATGAACTGGCCAACGGGCTCAATCATCAATGGCCTTCCTGGCTGAACCGCCATCTGGTACCTTGCTCAACCGCCAACTATCAACTTGCTCGATTGTCAACCAACTACTAACTTTCTTATCCACCAACTGTCAACTAACCCTGCCGGCGACTGGCAACTTGCTCAACTGTCAACTGATAACTCGTAACTGGCTACGTGCTCAATAACCGCCAACTGTCAACTTGCTCAATCGTTAAATGCCAACTGCGACCTGCCAACTTGCTTAACCGCCATCTGGCAACTTTCTTGACCACCAGCTGGCAACGTGCTCAATCACCAACTGGCAACTTGCCTAACCACCAACTGTCAATTGGCTCCCTCGCTCCACGACCAACTGGTCAACGGGCTCATTATCAACGATCTTCCTGGCTGAACCGTCATCTAGCCAACTGTAAACTGTCAAATGGCTCAACCGCCATCTGTCAACTGGCTTAACCGCTATCCGGCAACTTTCTCGACCAACTGTCGACTTTCTCAACTACCAACTGTCAACTTGCTTAACTACCAGCTGCCGACTGGCTCAACCACCAACGGCCCACTTGCTCAACCGCCAACTGTCAACTGTCAACTGTCAACTGTCAAACGGCTCAACCGACATCTGGCAACTTGGTGAACCGCCAACTGTCCACTGGCTCTGCCGACAGCTGTCAACTTCCTCAACCACCAACTGTCGACTTGCTCAACTGGAAACGTGCTCAACACCGCCAACTGTCCACTTGACTAACCGTCAACGGCCCACTTGCTCAACCGCCAACTGTCAACTTGCTCAATCGTCAACTGTCAACTGTCAACCTGCTTAATCACCAACTGTCAACTGGCTTAACCGCCATCTGGCAACTTTCTCAACCACCGACTGTCGACTTTCTCAACTACCAACTGATAACTCGCAACTGGCAACGTGCTCAATAACCGCCAACTGTCAACTTGCTCAATCGTTAAATGCCAACTGCGACCTGCCAACTTGCTTAACCGCCATCTGGCAACTTTCTTGACCACCAGCTGGCAACGTGCTCAATCACCAACTGGCAACTTGCTCAACCACCAACTGTCAACTGTCAAACGGCTCAACTGACATCTGGCAACTTGGTGAACCGCCAACTGTCCACTGGCTCTGCCGACAACTGGCAACTGGCTCAACCACCAACTGTCACCTGGCTCAACCACCACCTGGCAACTGGCTCAACCACCAACTGTCACCTGGCTCAACCACCAACTGTCGCCTGGCTTAACCGCCATTCGGCAACTTCCTCAACCGCCAACTGGCAACTGGATCAAACGCCAAACGCCAACCGTCAACTGAATCAACCACCAACTGTCAACTGGCTTAACCGCCATCTGGCAACTGTCAACGGGCTTAACCGCTATCTGGCAACTTTCTCGACCAACTGTCGACTTTCTCAACCACCGGCTGTCAACGTTCAACTGTCAACGTGCTCAACCGTCAACTGGCAACTGGATCTTCCAGCTGAATTACTAATTGACTTCCTGCTTCAATCTCCGGCTCAATCAACAAATATATATTCCTTCATTTCTACGCTTTCTAACTATGCCCCAACCCCACAAATCAATTTATTAACTCTGCATGGGATACGTCAACGATATATCTGCCACATGGAACCTTATTCCATAATATAATCAATCTCCTGCTCCACAAATCGACATAACCAATTCATCTCAACCACTAATCCACTTCGCTCCTCACCCCGTCGTCCAAACCGCCGCTGGAAATGCCGGATAAGCTGCCGTTCATCGTCAATATCTACCCGCGGATCCAGATCGTGCAATCGCCGCTGCCATGCCTCTCGGATCTGATGTCCCTGCCGTCCATATAATAACTGTGCCATGATCTGAATTGCTATGTGTGGGTATTGACACTGCCGTGCCATCTTTCGATAACCACCACACTCATTGCGTTCCCATTGTTGGTATATCCATTATGGGGAATGGCATTGGAAACATGCCGCATATAGTTTATAACCGCTTTGCCCGTGGCCCCGGGACCAACTAACTATATAATGAATCACCTAATCTATCCATAACCGTGCTATTGGTGCCTGGGGATGGGGACAATCTTCAATTTTATGATTGCTAGATTGCTGGATCATCCCACATAATCAACATTGCCCAGCCCACCGGTCAAACTGCTCCTGGATGGATTCGATTTCCTGTCCATCTGCCTCCGCGTGCTGGCTCAGTCATTGGATGGGAGCCTGGTAATATGCTGGGGATGGGAATATGGGATTTTTATGACGTTTGGCCACTGGCGGGATCAAATATGGGGAAATGGGTCGTTTATATCGCGCTGGGGTTGGATCTCTTATGCCCTTGGTAATGTTCTCACTGCTGGCTTGATCACTGGCTTCATCACTGGCTTCATCACTAGCTTCATCACTGGCTTCATCACTAGCTTCATCAATACTCTTAGTGTTAGTGGATGTAATAGTCTGACACTGATCACATATAGCCTCACCATCCTCACACTGCTGCCAGATATATCCATCTACATTCCCATCTAAATATTCATCTAATATCTGTTGTCGACAACTACCAATAATATATTCCTCCACCTGGGGATCAACCTGGGGTGGATCTCCCCATCCTCGTCCATGGCCATCAATTAATATGATGGCCTGACTCGCACCACCATCTCGTCCGGCCCGTCCACTCTCCTGTCCATAATCCAATAATGACTGTGTCCGGCCCACGTGGATCACCAGCTGGATATTGGGGATATCAATCCCCATTCCCAATGCACTCATGGCCATAATCACCCCAGGACTCTGCTTCCAGAATGATGCTAACATGCCCTTTTTATCGATGGCCTTGCTGTAATATGCGGGACATTGTAATTGACGCACGATCTGCTGCACGGTGGCAATTATATTGGTGTATATGACCACTTTCCCATGATGTAGCTGCTGGACTCGCTGCTCAATCCATGTCATCATCTGCTCTGCAATGGCTTCTTTGCATGGCTCATATACTTCAATCTTAACCACTTAATATGCCACATTGATCCAGCTGGTCCGGCTGCGGAACCACTGAATTGTATGGGAATCAAAATATATTTGATGGTATAATAATCCTTCACTTTCACGGGGCAACGTGGCAGTTAATAATATCATCTGCGTCTTGGCACGAACCAATATACCAAGCTGCGACATCTGCTTGCGGAACTTATATCCTTCTTATAATAAAATATAACATTCATCAATGACAATCCAATCTAGCTCCTTGGCCTACTGCTTTCGGTTTATAAATGTTTGGAATATCTCGCTAACAGCGGATTCGGGGGTTACTAATACAATGGATATACTATCCGCTGGCCGCCGTGAATCCCATTCTATACATGATATCCCTAATGCCTGGCAACATTGCTAGATATTAGCTCATAATGCTACTAATGGAATAACTACAATGGTGGTGCCCCCCTGACTTATCCATGCTAGCAGTATAAATAATAAACTCTTCCTAGCTCCAGTGGGCATGATAGCAATAATGGGACTCTGGCGTTGGATAATGGACTGGATAATAGCTTTTTGGTTCCCATGAAATGTCGCGGATGACCCCATCATTTACTATAATGACTTGTCAAGATCCATGGCTTGGGTACGGGTCCATCGCTTAATCTGACTGGCCTCAGCCGTGTCCTGGAATGGAGTTGTGGTATCCATACAAACAGTTTAAATGGCGGATGCAAATCCTAAAAACTGATGCCATTCCTAGCTGCTTTGTCGGAACTGCTGCTGTTGACTAGCTACTTCCCCGGCTCGTTTAGTGATTTCACGCGCATATATTGCCCTGGCAATATGTAGACTATGGCCAGCCTATTCATTAGTAATCTAGGCCATAATCTGGGCCTTATCCTCATACGCCTCATCCTTGGTGATGGGATCCTTGGCATGGCTAACAAATGCCCAGCCAACTCACATGTATTGGCGACTGATAGCAATGGCAATCTCTTGATATGATATAATGGTTAATGCTAGTCCTTATAACCTAATCGTACTCTCCTGTTGCAAAATCTGCTCGAATTGTTCTGATGTCTATGCGGGCTCTCCTGGCATAGATATCTAGATATAGGAGTTAATCTCCTTCCACTAATGGATCCATGCATCAATCCACCATTGAAATAGTAACACTAGCTATAAATACCATACTAGTAGCTCTCCGACCTCCCATGGTAAATATCAATGAATGATTTTGACGTCTCCACTCATCTAGTAACCTTTATGATACTGTGCCACTAATACCACCATCCCATCCTCAATAAACATGTTCCGGATGTCACCTACGTGACTATTTTCATGTCGAATACTCAATAACTCAGATGCGCGAGTGGGTTGGCCCCATGTGAACTGGATTGCTGCCTGGAGCTTCTCCAAAAATGCCATAATCCGTCGATGAAATGTCTGCCATCATACGGGTTGAATGCCTTGTCCATCCGCCTGCATAAATTGACGATATAATGGGGGATGATCCTAGATATGCTGCCACAGCCAGCTCGTGCCATCTACTGGCCACGGGGTCCGCGGATCTTGCAAAAAACTCCATTGAAAATCCTCATTGAACGGGTTATCATACAGTTGATCCCACGGGATCTGGGGCACGGCCTCATGGGGACTCTGGAGTAAATCCTTCATCAATATCTGTCGTGCATCCTGCACTGTACGATCCACCATGCCGCGGAACTGCTACATTGTAAATTTGACATCTTTATATAACAGTTCATCCCCATTCTGCTATGTGACATGTCCTTCAGATATAGTGTTGTAATGAATCTTCAATCCATACATGCGTAAATCCAACATCCACTGCATTGGACTCTGGGATCCACGCACTATAAATCAATCCATCATCTGGGTTACCCACTGTAGACATCCTTTTTAACTATGGATGGGATTGGGGGATGGGGATCCTCTATATGCGCTATCCCAATCCTTCTCATCCATAGAACTAGGGGGTTCAGCTCCCTTCTTAGTATCTGCTAATTCTATAGCTTTATAAACCACCATAAACCATGCTAGCTTGATAACTTTGGATAAAATGGGGGGATAATTCTCTAGGGTCCACCATCCTCCTTAATCTCGAACTCCTAATACAGCTATGGCACATACTAATGCGCAGTCATATTCCCGATGCACCACTCATTGATTTAACAACTTAATACAAAAATCCAAACATGTCCGCTAGATGGAGGTTAATAGTGGGATTGAGATCTCCTTGGCTTTGTCAATCAATGGATCAAGATTGGGATCAAGCTCTAGGTCGCTATTGATATCATCTTCTGGGGAGCTGGAATCGATGCTGTCAATACCAGACTCACTAGACGTAGGTGATAAGCTGAATTCCCACGGACAACGCTGTCCTAGTTATAATATAATTGACTGTCCTGGATTCCTAGATTAGATATTGGGATGGGCAACCTGCACTAACTGGTCCCATGCTGCTCGCTGTCGTTGTGTAAATCGATATAGGGGAGATTAAGTATCTGATTTACCTTGCTGGGTCCACCAAAAAAACATCAATATCTGCTGCTATGGATGAACTTGCTCCACTATAGTCTCTGGATCCTGGTATGCCTCCAACAGCTGATACCACGTTTGATGTTGTTCTGTCTGGATAGCTTCCATACGCACAAATACACCAGTATGAATCACAGATTGTTGGCTCACTTGTCCTAGCTCACCCATGGCTGTCCATATAGCATAGATGGCACGTTCATTGGGATCTTTGATAGCATCATCCATGGGTGGTGCGGGCATGTCAATATATGTCAACAGCTGCTCGCTAGAAAATGATGCTAAATACAAAACCCAGCCTGTTTGACGGAGCCATGGATTGGCCTCATCCATATGGCCCTGCTGGATTTACTGCGCGGCTTGTTTCTCATAAATAGTAAATTGCTGATTAGCCTGTTCCCAAATTGTAGAACCATGCATAGTAGGTGGAATAGGATTTTCTTCTCCTATCTTATTGATAATAGCAAAATACTGGAACCCAGTTTTCTAGGGGAATATTCGTTGGCATTGTACTGGTTGACAAGCATGCTGCTGTTGCTTCTGAATTCTCTTCATATTTAATTTAGTTGGATGGCTAATTTCAGAAGTCCAGCTCCAACCATGTTGCTTTAACTAATGTTGTCGCATAGTGTCTATACTTAGACATACATATAAATATGATCTGGGCGATAATTGGCACTGCCAACCACCTAATGGACCCACGAGCTGGGGAATAGCCTGGGTTCGGACTGGTGGGATATCTAACTTGATTAGATTAATAGCGATATCTGGCTAGCTACGGACCTCATCTGCAAGCTGAACATGGACTACAGGTAATATATAACAATGGGCACGCTTTAAATGACCCTCAATCTGGCTCGGCCACACACCATAACGGCATTTGCGGCATATCATAATGGGAAAATCGGTCAGTCGCTCAAAATATATATTCTAGAATGGAATGGGGTTGGTCATGGTAAGATATATTATAGATATATAACAGATGCAAAAGTTAAATGGATAAAATGAATAGAAATAGATTTAAGAATCAGTTGATTGTAGTTAAAAATGCTACCGCGGCTACCCCTATTTGACTGGGCACGGACCATATCTTATTTTGACTACTTGACCTAGCTCTCAATATACCCTAACAAAAACATCACCACATAACGTATCAATTTTGCTGCACTCCTACGCGATATTCTACATGGTGACTGGTGGTGAAATTATCAGCGTATGGAAAGCAATGGCGGAAAAATCTATGATGCAAGTTTCACGCGGATCAGCCATAAAATCCTAATTGTATTTGGGGTATAATGCTAATTGTATCCGGCGTCCGAATTTGTTAGTAAAAAATTAACCCTAACCCGAACCCTTATTGTATCCGGACTAAAACCAATTACCTATTTTGGTTAGAAGCTGTTGGAATACATGATAAGCCACCCAGGCAGCATTCAATCCTTCAACCCCAAATGTCGCTCGCTTCTGCCCTAGCCAAAGCATATATGCTGCCTCGTTGGATTGTACGTGCTCACCACCAAGACCAGGCAGCAAGCCTTCTGTCCAGGCCTTGATCTGATAGATCGCCCAGCAAGCTTGCATGACGAGATCAGGATAGAGGCAGGTTCCCTGGCCCTGTTGACTGCACACCGCTTGTGGATTATAACAACGAAAGCACCCGGCATATCGCTGCATCCAGCCTTGAAACCGCTTTCCTTCCTGCTGTGCCCTCTTTTTTGACTCAAGAAAGTCCTGTCGACGAGGATTCCAACACTTGATAAAGGAATGCTTTTTCGTGTCGGCAGATGATGATGGTAGGATACGGCAGATCACGCAGGTGCCACGGAGCGCCTGGAGGGAATCCTCATACTGCTGTAATTGCTGGCTCTCCTGCTGGATCTGCTGGATTCGCATCTGAGACCCAATAGTCAGATCGCAGTCGACGTTCTCCTCTGGATTAGGCGAGCAGGTCGTAGTAGGATCAGTCGAAGAAGATTCAGGATTCTCTTGACGGAAGCGACATTGATCACAGAGAGGATCAGGCGCGCTGCAGGCCACTGCAGCCCCATCGAGGAAGGAGCTCATCGCAGCGACTCGACAGTTCGGCTGATCTAAAACAGCATGCATAGCCTGTACATCAGACGAGATCATATGGCCTGGTCGGCTCGACTTGGTAATACTCCATGAGGGAGGGAGTAAGGTAATAGAACGACCGCCCTGTTGGTCACGTCCTATGCGGCCTACCTCCTGCGTAAACTCAATGAGACTGGATGGAGCTCCAAGATGGATAACAAGGCGGACTCGTGGATGATCAATTCCCATTCCAAAGGCAGAAGTGGCAACAATCCAATTTGGATTTCCATTACGCCACGTCTCGAGGGTTTGCGCCTTCTCTTCACGAGTCCCAGAATCAGCATGGTAGAAGGGACATGCAAGAATCGTAGCCACTTTCTCTGTAATCGCTTGGGTTTGGCAGTAGAGAATTGCACGCTCTTGAGAGTCTAGTTGGGTACGCTCTTGCTGGATCCAAGGAATTGCAAACTTGAAGAAGTCCTGATCCATAGGGCAGGAAACGACCTGATAGGATAGATCACGGCGAGTGGTGAGGCTACGGATCAATCGTGCCTGAGAGAGTAGCATGGTTTGCTCAAATTCTGCCATCATGACTGGTGGTAGCGTGCCAGTGAGGAAGACCATCTGACACTGAATATCGCGTAACGTAGGAAGCAAGGCCAGTCCCTTGCGGTAAGAAGAGGCGGTCAGAGTCAGATGACACTCATCAAATACAACACGATCAAGTTGATTGGCAAGCTGTAGCCGAAGAAGAAAGGTTCGGAAGTTGATATGTACTGCCTGCTCAGCGCTTACTAGGATCAGTGGACTCGATCCAAGGTGCCTGGATTCATCCTGCTGATTCCAGATGGTCACCTTAATTCCAGCATTCTGACATCGAAGGAGCATGTCCTGCTTGAGGACCAATAAAGGGAGCACTACCACGGTTGTTCGTGCACCAGGAAGCTGGCAGGGCAGAAGATAGAGTAGGCTCTTGCCCTCATTTGTCCGAAGAACTGCAACCACTTGACTAAAACCCTGGATGATATACTGCAAGGCTTGTTGCTGATTACTGGTTCGATACTGCGCTTCTGGTCCATACATGCGCTTTAGAATGGTCTGCGCCTGCTCCATAGTCCAGCGCTGTTGACTCTGTCGTGGTTCGTGGCAACGATGAAATCGTTGAACTAGTGTGGACTCAGTTGCCTCACTCCGCACTCGCTTGGAAGGACTCTCATCCCATTCCCACTCTATATTGACGTTGGCTGGTTGCAAGGACTGAGTGAATACAGCAGGCAGTCGTCTTTTTAATAAGCTAGGTGTAGAGTACTGCGAGGGCTGTTTGATTAATTGATGCCAGATCTCGCTAGCTTGGCG